CCAAAGAAGAGGGAGTCAAGCTATTCTCCAAAGCACCTGAAGGCAGGACAAGAAGCAACAGATGGAAAATAATCAAGGAGAGAAGCAACCTAGAACTAAGGAGGAATTTCCTGACAGTTAGAACAATTAATCAGTGGAACGCCTTGCCTCCAGAAATTGTGAATGCTCCAACATTGGAAGTTTTTAAGAAAAGACTGGACAATTATTTGCCTGAACTGGTACAGGGTTTCCTTCCTGAGCAGGAGGTTGGACTAGAAGACCTCCAAGGTCCCTTCCAGACTTTTGATTCTATGTTCTAGAAAGCAACGTTCAACTCTCCTTTAGAGGTTTGTGCTCACTACTCTGGAAATAACTCCTCTTAATACAGGAGACTTATTGATATTCTGATATTCTGATGTAACTGGGGAAAGATGGTCCTACAAATAAATAATCTGGCCCCAGTCATGTAGGGCTTTGAAGGTGACAACCAGCACCTTGAATTGGACCTAGAAGCAAATTGTCAGCCAGTGTAGCAGGAAAATATGGCAAAAAGAGTCTGATGGAATCTTAGCTACCACATTTTATTATATTTTGTTTTTTATATTTGAAAACAATTAGGATGACCAATAAAGGAGAATATTTGTAGATCGGGGTTGAAATGAGGGGTCCTTGGTGCTCTCTGAGCTTGATGGTTTTCTTGCAGACGTTTTATTACCCAAGTAGGTAACATCATCAATGCTAGATGATCATCACTAGTTTGAAACATCTGCAAGAACACCACCAAAGTCAGAGAGCACCAAGAACCCCAGAGTCGTCGTCCTCCTCCTCCTCCTCCTCTCCACACACAACACTCCCTTCTAATACTGACGATGTTACGTAGTTTGGGTAACGAAACATCTGCCAGAAAACCACCAAGCTCAGAGAGCACCGAATTAGCCTGAGACAGAACAAAATGGAGGAACATCCTCAGCTTTCTGCAGGTTGCAGAAATTAAGAATGGGGAGATTGAAGTGTGAAGAGTTAGAAGCACAGAAGCAACGTGCCAAACAGGTCAACCTTTTCTGCAGGCTCAAAATTAGACACGTCTACCCAGTCTGCAAATTATATCCACACAATATAAATCAAGCCTGTTTCCATTACAGATCTGCTTGCTTTATTTATTTATCCTAAAACCTGATGACGTTGGCAGTTAGCCGATGAAGGCTAAGTTTATCAAACAGTTGTTAGTTTATTAAACAGTTGTTTTTATTTATCCCGGTGTTCGACTACTTCTCTCAACATATATATATATATGTTGGAGGTGGAGGGTAAAATAAATTAAGGGGGAAAATTGGGGGGGGTTATATTTTGGTTTATATATGGTTCCTTCAACTGCTGGGAAATCTTTTATAAATTCTGCCTTTTTTTTATTCCTCATTGAGAGAACTAACTTAAGAATTAGTGACTTGCCTCAAGGTGGCTTGAGTGAATCTGTGTCAAAGTAGGAAGAGGAGTTTAAATCTCCCAACAATAAAATAGATGCCTGTGTTTAACAAACATAGTTTAGGGGAAACATATTCTATCTTGGGTTTTTTTTTTTTTTTCTTCCCTTGCCGTTCCAACCGTGTTCTATTGCTCAGGGTAGTTGGCTGCAATTAAAAATGAAATAAACAAAACAAAGCAAGGCTATGAATTAGAAATAAGCTGAAAATAAGCTGAAAAGAAATCTAAGCTGAATGTTCCCTTGACTAAAAAAAAAAAAAAAAGGAAAGAAAATCACTGGCCCAGCAAGGGGAAAGCAAATACTGTAGTCCTCAACTTACGACCACAGTGGAGCCCAAATTTTCCGCTTCTAAATGAGACATTGGTTAAGTGAGTTTGGCCCCATTTTACAGCCTCACTTGCCACATTTGTTAACTGTGAATCCCTGCAGTTGTTAAGTTAGTAACATCGCTGTTAAGTGAATCTGGCTTTGCTAGTCAGAAAGTCACAACCGTCATAAATATGAGTCACTTGTCAGGCGTCTCACTTTTGACTGCATGACCTGGGGATGCTACCGTGGTCGTAAATGTGAAAGACGGTCGTAACATATAATTCTCCAAATGTAAGAATGCAACTTTCAGTCTCTACAACTAGAGTATAAGCCACAGAGAACTGATAGAAACCAAAGACAATGAACACAAGCAAGATTGCAACACTCCCTATTCACTCCCCCAAGACTGAAGTTGGGAACTTTTCACGGGCCCAGACGCCTCCTTCAAATTCCTTGATCTTCTAAAGGGATCAGAATAGAGCTGGAAGGGACTTTGGAGGTCTTCTAGTCCAGCCCCCTACTCAAGCAGGAGAGCCTATACCATTTCAGACAAGTGGCTGCCCAGTCTCTTCTTAAAAACCTCCAGCGATGAAGCTCCCACAACTTCTGGTGGCAAGCTGTTCCACTGGTTAATTGTCCTCACTGTTAGGAAGTTTCCCCTTAATGCCAGGTGGCTTCCAGGATGCTGAAAGGCATCAGTTATTAAAAGGAGCATGACTGAAAGGTTTCAGTCCATTTTTAACCCCCCCCCCATTTGGGTGGGGTTTAGGACCATGGGATGCAAACTCTTCTTTCTAGATCAAAAACATTACTTTATTTCACAGGGCAAAATGCACACAACTGCAGAAATAAGAGAAGGGTCATCAAACAGTCTTAAGACTTTCCGCATTAGTAACTCAATAATCCTTCCTGTCTTATAATTCACCGGAGAGCCGTACCCATCATTTAGAAACCATCAAATCTACCTTGGAATCCTATTCCATAAACTGATTTTTTAAGGTCAATCAATCAAAAAGAGCCGGGAGCAGGCTGGCAACTCACTGGCAAGATGCATCAATCTACACGGCACTGCATCCTCACAAGTATGAGAGAGACCGATTGTTCTTGGTGATGATTACTTGTTTGAGATGTTCCTCCATTTTATGTCTGACACAACTGTGACATGAGTAGCTGCGGTGCTCTCGATTCTCGTTTAAATCAGTGTGCTTTACAAAGGCTTACACCAGTTTAACTGTGGCCAAACCTGAAGTAGGATACTTTGTCTTATAAGTGCTTCTCAAACAGTATCGTTAAAGTATGATGTGTCCTCGGCTTTTATATTGAACGGTAAAATCAAGTGCTCCTATCAGATAGCGGACATTTTCTTTAAAAAAAAGAAAAGAAAGAGTAGGACCAATATAATGTTGGGTCAACTTGATTTAAACCATGCAATAACCTATGATTTAATTTATATACATCCAATTAGTTTTTAATTATACACCCTCTTTCAGGTGACAGAAGGAGGAGGGGGTGACAGAATAAGAAACTCACATTTGCCCTCATGAGAGCTAGGAACAGTAATGATAGCTGATAGGTTAAAGAAATGCTGAAGAACAGCAGAAAAGGAGATAATTGTACTGCTGATACAGCCTTGCAGCCTGTTACTGCAGTTTTGGAACTTGAAAAGTGCTTTACAGCACTCGTTGGCTCTGTGGACACAACGGAAAGGACACCGTTAGTCATTTTAAAAAGTGGCTTCAGAATGAAATATTTCTTCCTTTTAGTTCACTGGGCCTCCGTTCAAACAAACTTGGGTGAAGCGTCCAACTTGCTTGGGACAACCACGGAGCCTGGCTTTTGCAATCATCTCCAACTTTTTAATGATGACCAGCTGTTTTCACACACTGCTTGGTTCATCTTACAGCATCAAACCACCAACTAAGACACGTGAAGGAGATGCCACCAAGCAATCCTACTGCATTGCTTCAAACAGATGGGTCCTCTGTGGTGTTGGCAAAAGAATTGTAAACACCAAGAAGCAGCTTCCCTTTGAGGGAAGGGACTTAGCCAAAATTTGTATCCTCCCTTTCCCCCCCCCCCAATTGCTTGGCTTCTTCAGCAAAGCGTCAAGGCGACGGTTCCTCAGTCAAACACATCATTGTCCCAACCAGAAACATCCCCTGTTCTTTATTTCACCAACAACCAACAATCTGATGAGCCTTGATGGTATATAGGACCACACACAAATCAAATGGGTCTGTCCTTTGCCTTTGTATCTTCCGCCACCAAAGGAAGGTGCCCTTATCAACAGCATAAGACAGCCTGTCTCCACAACTGAATATAGGATCTCAGTGTCTTCCCTTCTCTAAACATGCTCTGCAAATTCAGTTCATCCAGATGTACATGGTCCATGCAATGAGAAATCAAGGGGTGCACCTTTACATACGAGCCCATTTTACAGAGAGGAAATGAAGGCTGAGATGTTATAGATTTACACCAGGTGAGGCTATCAAAGTCAGGAGCCTATAGCGCAGGGATCCCCAACCCCCAGTCTGTGGACCAGTACTGGACCGTGGCATGCCAGCAATCGGTCCACACAAACAAGCAAAGCCCCATCATTGGGATGCAGGCAGCACACAAAACTACGCACCCTCCAGTCCACGGAAAAACCTCTCTCCACGGAACCGGTCCCTGGTGCCCCAAAGGTTGGGGACCTCTGCTATGGCGTGTAAGGAGCCAACCACAGATATTTGAGTTATAACTCTAGTCCTCTGACCAAAATGAAAGTCCCCTTGGGACAAACCTGCTGCTGATCTGTAGGTAGAGCTTTCTATTGGCTGTGTACAGTTTGAGTTATGTTGGTTATCCAGATTGTTTGCAGGGGCATTTGAAAATAATTGATAGTAAGTCTGAAGTACTGCATTAACTCCAACTTTCTCCTGTTCAAAGTTCAGCAAGCCCTCTGGCACCAGCTCAACATGGAATTCCAAAATAAATAATGCCCAGAAGAGACATGGGTCTGAAATTCCCATGTTCTAATCCACTTTTGCTCAATCTTAGTAAAGACAGTGACTCGATAGAAAATGTTACAGTCTGCCCAAGCTTTACAAAACTCTATGAAGTCTAAGCAGCATATGATCGCCCTGCCTCTGACTCACATACTCGTACTCTTAGCTAGCTATTAGGCAGCACTATCCCCTCCCCCACATTTGCTCAGCCGACTGCCCTGATGCTCCCCTCCCTTCCTCACCATTGAGTTGGTTGTACACCACCTCCTCCAGATGGTCCAACCTTTGCAGGATGGCCTCCCTGTCCAGCAGGGCGCCCACTTTGGCATTCCGTCCCCTCATCCGTCGGTCGGCGCTCTGGACGATCTGCACCAGCTCCTGGGAGCGGTCCTGGATCCTGCAGTAGACCGAGAAGAGGATGATGCCCACAAAAACCAAGATGTTCACCGTCAATAAAGTTTTGATTTTCCTTGCAACCGCCATGGAAGCTGCTGGGTCAGGAGGGCGTCAAGGCATGGTAGTTCCGGGAGCTGCGGCACCATCGAAGGCAAGCAGTCCCTGCCCGCGGATGGTGGAAGGAAGGACGGGGGGGGGAGAGAGGAACTGGGGGGCGGGAAAGAGGGCAGAAGGAAGTCTTGAAAGATCCCCTTCCCACGACTTCTGGATGCCCAAGGCGAGTCAATGCATTGCCGGCGACCAGGAGCTGTCCGCTTCAGCACCACGGCGTTCCAAGCAGCCGCCGGCTGACTCCTTCTCCTCCTTCGGGCTTCTGTCCTTCAGCCCGGAGGGGACGCCCGTGTCTCTGTTGGGGGCTCTAGAAAGCGGGGGGGGTGAGGACCCCCTCGGCTGACGATGGGGGTGAGGCACGCCCGGGCGGGGTGGGGGGGGCAGCCAGAAGCAAGGACGCAGCGCCGAGGCAGGCCAGCCAGCTTGGGCAGCGGCGAGCGCAAGGAGAGAGCAGGTGAGCGGGATGCGCCCACAGTTGCACGCGTGTCAGGGTTTGGGCAGGTGGGGGGGAGCGGCGAAGGTGAGAAGGGGAAGCGGTCTTGCGCGATGGTTGCCTGCCTGTCTGCCTGCCCTGCGCGCGTCCTCGCACGCCTGCGTGCGCGGTGGTTGCAATCGGGTCGGTTGCTGGCCCTCGCTGCCTCGCTCCCCGCGCACAGCGCAGGGGCGAAGTCACGTGGCGTGTTGGGTGTTGGGGGGGAAGGAGGGAGGGAGGAGAGGGGAAGGAGGGAGGAAAACTCCCCCGCATTCGCGCGGCTTCCCTAGGCAGCTGGGGGGGGGGTATCTCCCCTCCAAGACAAAGAGGGAGGTGGGCTTATCTGCTCACTCCCCTGCTAACCCGTGTTCCCCCCCCCCGCCGAAATGCTTTTTGTTCCATACGTGTGGGGAGATGGGGGACCTCTTTCCTCGCCCTGATTCCAACCGCTTTGAACGTCCGCACACCAAGCCTCTGAGCATGCAAAGGCTGTTCTCCCTTCACCAAGGCCGTCAACCCTCTCCAATTCCTTCCTGCAGTGGCTGAATCGATGGCCAACCTCGTTTTTTTTTTTTTTTTTTTGCGCTGCAGCTTCTGGGTTGAATTTGGTGGCACCAAAGCCATTGAGTTGCACGATTGGCCCTGGGATATGAAACACCTCTTCTTCTGACAAATCCTCCATCATCGAAATACATTCATAGCCCCCTTTGGGATTTATTTTCGTCTTTCCTTTGTCATTAAGCTTTCCCAAATGTGAGCTGCTGCTAAGTTTCTTGCAGGCTCCCTATAGAATGATGCTCTGTGTGAGTTCAGATAATATGCTTAACGGGAAGCATGCCGTGTGAATGCCACCAACCAGTCAGCAGAGTTTGAGTTTGGGGTTGCTTTGGGTTAAGCTGATCCTCCTGGTCAGTGGTGAAACGTGGACTGTCGTCCCTCTCTTGCAGCTGTTATCAGAGAGATGAAATGCTAAACTAGCCCAGCAAAAAATGGGGCAGTTCTAGGAACTTGGCCTCTTTCTCTGTTGGGGATATTTCACTCCTACTGTGTCTACATAATAAGATCTGGGACAGGGGAAGAACGGGGTTGGTAAGCTTCCCTTGATTGGGGCCACCAGAGTTTTTTGTACATTTCTTCTGCAATCAAAAAAAAAGAGAAGGAAGTGAAAGTCATCCAAATGGCCATTATGAATTGAACTGGGAGAATCTGTGATTATATGCTTCTGGCAAAGTAATTTTTTTCCCAACTGGGTCAGTCATATCATCTATCACAGCCATGGATTAGCACAGAGAGAACAGCTAGATTCAGAGATTTTACTAAGCTATTGCGGAATCATGTGGTTTCCCTGATTTATTTTTTTAATCAAAATATTAGGCACATTTGATCATTTTTGAGACCCACCATTTTGTTTATATGCATCGTTTTTTGATACCCACACAACTTTATTAAAAATTGCTTAAGCACTCAACCCAGTATAGCACAACCAACACAAGCAATGAAAAGGATGACACTTATCAAAACATCTCAGAAAGAACCAACAGACTGTTACAACCATATGACATCAACCTAGCATACCAAACAGCTAAAACCTTCCAAAACATCTTAAGTAAACCAAAAGACCCAGTAACCCAGAAAAATAAGAATCTTCTCCAACGTACAGCGTAAGGACTGTAACGGTCACTATGCAGAACAGCAGTCAGAAGGCACAGTGAAACCATTTTAACCTCATAACACATGGACAGACTCAATCATAGTTTCAATTGGGAAACGGTGAGCAACCTAAACCGAGCAAAATCCAAAAAATGCTGCAGATGTCTTGAAAACTTGGCATCCAGACAAATCAGCCCTCAATAGGCACATAAAGATAAACCACATTTACATAACATTCAAAAGAGACAATAAAAAAGCCAAAAAGGGAACAAAAAAGATCGGAACACATTTCCATCAGCCTACACCCAGATAAGCAGGGATTAACACCAGCCAAACAATCAAGCAGAAAGCAATATCCCAATCAAGATATTACCATGGATAAAACCAACCCCCCACTAACGGTGCAAGGGAAGATACTGTAGGTAAGCAGGGAGCCGGGACCACACTCCCTTGAACTGATGATGTTACCTAGTCAGGTAATGAAAATGTCGGCAAGCAAATAACCGAGTTCAGAGAGCACTAAGGCCCCCACAATTAACGTGTTGTATGACTTGGACTATTGCAATTTTTTTTTTCATGCAATCCCATCCAATTCTTGACTGCCTGGAAAAAACCCCTGCAGTTTTCTTGGCAAGGTTTTTCACAAGTGGTTTGCCATTGCCTGCTTCCTAGGGCTGAGACAGAGTGGCTGGCTCAAGGTCACCCAGCTGGCTTTGTAGCTAAGCTGGGACTAGCAGGCCACTTTAGCTGACTGTGTTCAGCAGGTCAGTGGTTCAAATCTCACCGGCTCAAGGTTGACTCAGCCTTCCATCCTTCCGGGGTAGGTAAAATGAGGACCCAGATTGTTGGGGGCAATGTAAATATATATATATACATTGCTTACTGGTGTACACCGCTTAGAGAGTGCTTGCACTTAAAGCGGTATATAAGTCTTATAAATAAATAAATTCACACTCTCCCAGTTTCCAGTTTAGCTGCTACCCTAAGCTGTCGCTCCAAAAAACAACAACAACAAAAAAAACACCCAACATAATTCAATGTCATCTGTGAAGTTATACAGTGAGCTTTGATGGCCCTTAGCTGTTGTATACCGTGTTTGTGTAAAAAAAAACGAACACCACACGTACCGATACGACTTCTGTTGATTCTTTTATCACCCCAAGGTAACAACAGTTGCAACTGTCACATGAATACAATTTCAATGAAAAAAAAAATGCATTTGATAGCAGAAAACACGCTTCATCAGCCTTCAGATGTCTTACGTTTATTGAATGGCTTAGTTTCCTGATGTGGTTTTTTTTTTTTTTTTCTGATATATTAGAGCATCACCTACTGGTGATGTTTTAGTTAAGAGCCTGGTAATGTGGCTTCTCCAGGGTAAATGTGCTAAGCCCGCACATTGCTTCTGTGCATAGCAATGAGTTTACGCAGATGTAAACGAGAGAGATTTTTTCCACGTAAGTCAGTTTCAAGTATCGTGCAATACTTGAAAACCTATTTTAAAAGGATTCCCTTGCATGTGAGAACAGTAGCTCATCAGAGGGAGGGAAAACATGGCTGACCTCCTCTCCTTGCTATACTAGATTTCTGCCTGCAGGGCATTTCCTACTGGGGGGGGGGAGAACCCTATTGATTTCTCCAAATAGAACAGAAAGCATAATGAGCATAAGGGACAACAGTTGAATATGGTATACAGGAAGTCCTCGATTTAGGATTACAACTGAGTCCAAAATTTCTGTTGCTAAGCAAGGCGGTTGTTAAAGTGAGTTTCGCCCCCTTTTACAGCCCTTTTGCCCCAGTTGTTAAGCAAATCGCACACTTGCTAAGTGCATCTGGCTTTCCCCCATTGACTTTGCTAACTGGAAAGGCAACCAATGGCGATCGCGGGGTTTTGCCACCCCCAAACACAAGCCAGTTGGCAAGCGCCTCCATTTTGATCACTTGACCACGGGATTGCTGCGACAGTTGTAAAGTCACCTTTTTCGGTGCCCTTGTAACTTTGAGCGGTCCCTAAAGGAACAGTTGTAAGCCAAGGACTATAACAGTGGTGGCGAACCTATGGCACGGGTGCCAGAGGCGGCACTCAGAGCCCTCTTTGTGGGCACGCGCACCGTCGCCCCAGTCCTAGGCCTTCAGCTGGGTTTCATAAAACCTTTTTGCTTTAGGCCTCCGCCGCCGTGTGCAAAAAGAAAAAAAAGGTTCAATCGGTCAATTTCAACTTCTCATGGGGAAAAAAAAGATCTTGCAAAGTTGGAATTGATTGATCGAACTTTTTAGTCCCACCCAGTCTGTAGTTACCACCGCAGCCATGCCCACCCAATGGGCCACACCCACCCAATTAGCCACACCCAGCCAATGGGCCACACCCACCCAATTAGCCACACCCAGCCAATGGGCCACACCCACCCAATTAGCCACACCCAGCCAATGGGCCACACCCACCCAATTAGCCACACCCAGCCAATGGGCCACACCCACCTGGCACCCGACGATGCATAAGTGGGTTTTGGGTTGCAGTTTGGGCACTCGGTCTCTAAAAGGTTCGCCATCACTGGACTATAACCTGTAATTAATTTTCCATTAGAAAGGTGGGAAGGCAGTAGAGAAATAAAATAGCGTTTGGATTCTCAGCAGTTCTGATTTTCCCTGTTGCGCTAAGAGCGTCGGAGAGAAATCTCAGGGAGGGGGAATAAAAGACTGGGAAAAAAGACAAGGAGCAACTTTTGGTTTTTCCAAAGCATTTCTTTCTTTTTTTCCGGGTCTCTCTGATGCATCAAAAGCATTGCCAGGCTCTTTTTTTTCCCCCAATCCTGAGGCTTTAATCCAGAACCAATTTGCTCCAGAGAATGTCCCTGAGATCAGTGAAAAGATTTGAAATGAGAGCCTTTGCTTTATTGCTCCAACTTAGCTCAAAAGTTCACGTTGGGATCTGTGTCTTTGAAGTCATTAAAAGACTGCAGAGATACGGATAAATACTCGAGCGGATATAAATAACGCTGAAACGGGAAATAACAGCAGAAAAACACGTAGCTTTATTTCAAGCCAGGTGGGACGCTCGGAGAATATCGAGGAATAATTTTAAAATGTAGTTCTCCACACAGAGTCACTTTTGTGTCGATGTCACGTTTACCTTAGTAGTAAATTGTCTTTTGGTTTGAGGGGGGGGCGCGGGCTTTTTTTTTCTGGCTGAAAAGTACAATCAATATTTGCTCTCCTTTATTTTGCGAAAAGAAACTCAGGCGTGGTGTGTTGCAAAGTCAAATTAAGGTGAAACTGTGGCTGTATTGTTTGAGTTTCTCAGAAACATCGTGGTAACAATAAAGGAGAATATTTGTAGCCCAGGGTTGAAATGAGGAGTCCTTGGGGCTCTCTGAGCTGGGTGGTTTTCTTGCAGACGTTTCATGACCCAGCTAGGTAACCTCATCAGTGCTAAGAGGGAGTGAGATTTGCGATCTCTTTATATACTAAAGCAAGCCCCACTCCCTTCTGGAACTGATGATGCTACCTAGTTGGGTCATGAAATGTCTGCAAGAAAATAA